CAAAAGTTGTCATACTAATTGTAAGCGGATAAGGTTATGATTTCACAGATGGAAAGTACGTCAAATTATTCACTAATATGATTTTTAAAATTTCACATAATGATTTTATCGAAATTAACGGACATTGATATCTAATTATTTAAATGTAATATCAAACATAAACAGGTTATAAACATATGCTTTATGCTTTAAACAAGAATTTGATAATTAATTAAATAAGAAAAAAAGAAAAATGCTTAACCAAGTTGAAAAATCTTCTGAAATAATAGTTCGAAGGTATATGTATAATATGTCGTTGGAAAATGGAGAATTTTAGAAAACAAAATATCTAATAAATAGAAAGTAACAAAGAACTACGAAAAAATTATAAATAATAATTTGTAAAAACTAATAGAATTTAACGGAAACTACATGTTTCCTAGGAAATGGAATGAAATTTCCTAACTAAATGTAAACTTTTAAAATTATTTTTAAATTTGAAAATTTTTTATTTATTAAAATTTATTTATTATTTATTAAAAAATATAATAAAACAAAAAAAAAAAACAACCCTGGTGCAAGAAGTATTTTAAAATACAACACAACAATGTTCATTGCTTTACTTTATCTGATTTCATTGAAATAAAAAAAATAAAAAAATGAAGCTGATTAATGATAGTGATACACTCACATAAACTAGCTTTCCAATTTCAAAACACTGATACCTAATCTAGAAATAAAAGAAAAAAACATATTTTAAGGAGAGTTCAATATATTTTTTTTGTCTCATTACCTTAATAACTGTCTCATAAACCTTTATGGAATATCGTTATCCATTCTTACCTATTTAATTAAGCTATACAATACTTCACAACGTGAAGTCGTCATGACTGAGCCTGCTAAAGCGTAAACTTTAACATTCTCGAGCCATGTGACACCGGTTCGAATCCGGCCTGGACTTGTTAAAATTTATTTCATGTCGAACCTCATGGAATGAATGTCGACCTTTCTGGTTTAAATAAGTTTGGTTCTGCCTAAATAATTATCATTCCTCTACCGTATTCCAGAACTAGTGTTGCCCAAAATCAGTCTTGGTCTTGCACTTTGCAAAATCAAGACCAAGGGCGCTTAACTGTTGCAAGACCAAGACCAAGAATGGTAAAAAAATTGTTTTTGTGAATAATAATTAAACCTGTACCACTACAACCCATGAAGGGTCTGGGGTTCAGTACTATTTAGGGAAAGCACTGTTTCTAGGTCAACGGTTGTGCAAGGAGGTGATTTGACCGAGATCACGCTCAACCACCAGGTTTTCCCCCTTAATTAATTATTTAATTAAGGGTACCCACTTTATAGAGGCTGGGTGTGCCCCAGGAGGGACTCCTGACCCAAGGTCGCCCCACGGCCAATGAAACAGATAAATAAATTTTCTGCCATGAGCCGGGGTTCGAACTCGGGACCTTTGCATTGGAAGCTCAGTGCCCTACCACTGAGCTACCCCACTCCCTAATAAGAATAAGAATTAAGGCAAAATAGTTAATAATACTTAACAATTTGAGTTAATACATTAAAGAATTGATATAACCAATATACTTTTGCGTTGACTCTTCCAATTTTCATTTGGGCTTGGTCAGATTTCCCTTATCTGAAAAATACAGTAACATCTTTATGATAATAAGCTAATAGGTAACTGCAAGACTCTTGCACAAGACCAAGACCAAAACTAAGACTGCTTGCGCAAGACCAAGACTCGTCTTGCTCTCGCATTTGGGCAACACTTTACAAATATTTCATTATTTCACTATTGTAAATTAAATATTCTCGTTACCATAAATGTAAGTTAACATAAATAGCAATCAATAATAAGTATTTTGTACGAATCCGGAATGTTAACCTATGGTAACAATTTAATTATCAGAATAAATACATACGGTAAGTATGATATGGTGAAATGTTCTGTATTTAAGCATATAAAACAAAATCTTATTTTCATAGGTGAATGATGAAGTTAATCTTATTACTAAATAATGAAATGATTCTGAAATTAAAATAAAACCTATATCTTGGCTACGGTAAAGAATTGTTAAAAACAGATGTTCTTAAGTGAACATATGATTCCAATACCGTTTTAAAACTTATAAATAAACATGTATTGATGTTTTCAATTAATGTTTCTTCTTATTATTTTTATGTCCTTTCTCCCTACTATCCCTATCCTGAACTTCAAACAAATGTATTTTCAATATATCTTACTGGTTTACTGTCAAAATAATCCTTGATATGCTAGAGTGATTCCACATCAAGTGATTTCTTCAAGACGAGATTGTGAATATGTCTCTAAGAAAAATATTTATTAACTAAGAATTTCGAAAATATTATACAGAAAGCCAGAAAGTTGACGGTGCACTTTGGGCTGTCTAAGCAATCTAGCGGAACAAAAGTCAACACAAAGGAATTAATCTTCTTTTTTTTGTCAAAATTATTTCTACATAATTGGAAAAAGGAAATTTAATTTCGGGAATTTTTTGTAACCACTTAAAACATAAATTTCACAAGATATTTTACATCGTAAATTAAAAAAATCATGTGTTATTAAAAAAAAAAATCAAATATATGCAATTGACTTACAATTAATTTCAATACAATTAATTAGCAGTTAATAAATCAAGTTTCTAAAACTAAAACATAAAGAAACGTATATCACTCCGGAAACGGAAACGAGATTTATGAAAATCCTAAAATTAATTTGCTAAAAAATAGTTAATTTTTTAGATCAATAAATTATCATTTATTTATGAAAGCCCCCATTGGGGTAGAGGCATTCCCAAAAATAAATAAATAATTATGTATTTACTTAAATATTTAAAATGTTGTTGTTATGTTGGATCTCCTTAAATTTTCTCAGAAATTTAGTGAAATACTCTAAAGGTTAAATTTATTTCGATTTATTATTCCGATATTTATTCTGAAAGTATCACTCCATTCCTGGATCCTGTAATTAATTACTTTTTGTTACATTAAACAAATACCGACGTCACTGATTTTAATCATATATTATCGAATTAAAATATAAAAATATTGTAACTGATTTCTATGTAACATTATGGAATTGAGCTAGATCAATATTTTAAGTACACGACTTTTAGAAACTGGACATGATGTTCTCAGATATTCCGTTAAATCTTTTTAAAATTTTTATAGCTGTTCTTCGTTTCAAATTTCTACAAACTTGCAAAAATATTAACTATAACTTACTAAATATATGAAAAATTTTGAAATATGAAAAACGAAAAAAATAAATAAATAAAAATTTTGATTAAGTTACTTCAAACATTTAAAGAAGATATCTTTCTTTCTAATAAACACAACCTTTCAGAAGAAGAGTCTCAACTTTATAGTGTAAAATTGGTTTGTTTTTCATTATGGCAATCAAACCATTACTCTTTATTATAAAACCCGATTCCCATTATTCGACGTTTGAAGCCAATTTTACTTATATTGTTTTGGTTCTTTTTTTTTTCGACGTATTCTTTTTTTAATTATACCAATATATACACGTTCAATGACATTTCCTATACAAATATTCACTATCAACATTTTGATTTTTGTACAGCTAGATTGCTTGGGATAAGCGCACTGTTCGGTGAATTAATAATTTTTTTTTTCAATACTTCAATATACTTATTTTTACAGATTATTGTATAAAAATAACAATGTTCTCTCACCCTCTTTGATTGAAATGCGTTGATTAAATATAAATATATTTAAGAACAGAAGTAGTCTAATATCTGTAGGGCGGTACACTATCTATTTTGAAGTATCGGTGCTTCAATTGAATAATATCTAAAGAAGATTATTTTATTTTAATAATGAGAAAAAAAAGGATATATCATATAAAGGAATGAACTATAACAGTAGTTAAATAAATTCATGTGACTTAATACTCTATTAATTTAATAATTGTTTATTATATATATATATATATATATATATTATATATATATATATATATATATAATTTATTTAAACTTATTAAGTAAGTCAATAATTAAGTTAAATTTAGTAGATACTACTAAAAGAAGTGATGTTCTACAACACACAGATAAATGAAAAAAACAATCGATAATTGAAAACAATTAATAATTTAATCTTTAATAATTTATTAAACAATCGATAATTTCAATTATATATATATATATATATATATATATATATATATATATATATATATAATTTATTTAAACTTATTAAGTAAGTCAATAATTAAGTTAAATTTAGTAGATACTACTAAAAGAAGTGATGTTCTACAACACACAGATAAATGAAAAAAAACAATCGATAATTGAAAACAATTTTCAATTATATATATATATATATATATATATATATATATATATATATATATATATATATATATATATATATATATATAATTTATTTAAACTTATTAAGTAAGTCAATAATTAAATTAAATTTAGTAGATACTACTAAAAGAAGTGATGTTCTACAACACACAGATAAATGAAAAAAACAATCGATAATTGAAAACAATTAATAATTTAATCTTTAATAATTTATTAAACAATCGATAATTTCAATTATATATATATATATATATATATATATATATATATATATATATATATATATATATATAATTTATTTAAACTTATTAAGTAAGTCAATAATTAAGTTAAATTTAGTAGATACTACTAAAAGAAGTGATGTTCTACAACACACAGATAAATGAAAAAAACAATCGATAATTGAAAACAATTTTCGATAACTGGATATCAAAGATATGGATAAAAATCCTAGAAGTTGAAGAGAAGCTTATCTAAAAAAATATATGAAAGTTCATTATAACAGGACAAGTATACAATAACTTTACTGAATTAAATTTTATTACTCATAATTTGGCACCACCAGTCTAAAAAGTTTCTACGTCAGTTTTTTTTTTAATAAGTCTCTTGTTCTCCTGGATATTTATAATCATTCATCCTACCTCCTGTACGCCTGCTTTATTCTGTGTTTTCATCATCTTCCTTATCATCCTCTCTTCTATCTTGTTCTTTTAGTTTTTTCCATGGCGGAGGAGCGGGAATCGCTGGTCCAATTTTTTCTTCTTCAGTCTCCTTTTCATAAAGTGTTGGGCATGTTTGGAAGTTTCTTGTACATTGAGGTACCAACGTATTCCATAGCGTTCCTAACTGTAAGAATTTGATTGAACTGCAGAGTGACGAATTCATATCTGAAAACCGAAATGTTTTATGAAGAAAAAATTTTGCGATAGTGAGTGAAAGGTGATTGTCATATGATCATACTTCCAATATGTTTTATTTAAATCTGTATTCATAAAAAAAAAAAAAAAAACATATGAATATACCTAGTATGAAAAAATCACCGTTGAACTTTCTGAAATAAAGAAAGTTGTTGAAAATTTAAGCTATTAAAATCATTGAAAGATTATTCTTGTAGTTTTTAATATCAAATAACAGAAATTGAATCATTTACTTATATTTTCAAACATGCTTTCGTTCTGAACCTCCCATACAAATGGTAAAATTTAACTATATTTTATGGTAGAAAATATTAAAAAATGATGTCTAAACGTATTATTGGTCGTGTAATTACATTTAATAGGACTTCTAATAATCACTTAAACACCATTTCATATAGCTAGTTAGTATCTTTAATTTTTTTCAAAATAATTTTCGTTATATATATATGAAAAAAAAAAAAGCTTTCGAGCTGAAACCCCCTCCAAAAATAAATCTTGGATCCACTAGTGCTGTATACATGGTATACATATCATATCATGTATATGCCTGGTGATATGTGTGTCACTATTATACCATATCGTATCATGTATATTCCTGGTGATATATACGCCACTGTTATGTCATATCATATCATGTATATGTCTGATGATATGTAGGCCACTCATCGGCTGCTGAGAATAAACTACTGATTGTTTACCTCATACCTATCCATAACACGATTACGTTATTCAAGTCGTTTGAAGATGATATTAATTATTATATAAAAGTTTGAATAAAACTGTTTGGATAGAAAAAAAATATATGTACAAAGCAAATTCATGTGAATCGGTTAGCCTATCCAAATTACATATTACCTCCCACGACGGCAGTGCTAAGAGTTATGGACCACATCTTGGATGCAAATTTCATATGGTTTTTGGTTACGGTCCAGTTGGTTCTGGTAGCGGAAGGTCGTGGGGGTCCGTACTGCCATTTAGGGCATGTCGGTCCAAGGATCCAAAAAGAACACGTGCTCATTCAGAAACACGAGTTCACCGGGGTCACTGAATAATATTAGCCACTTACACTGTGCTACAACATAACACTCTGTTTTAGCAACAGAAAAAAATTTACAGATGACGAATGATTACTATTTTATTAGCAAGTACACTTTACACTTGGTTGGTTATGTAGTTGAATGACTTAGGCGCAACATTAGCGCCAGTTCAATATAACAATACTAATTTTAAAATGTTTAGAAAAAAAATAAAGTAAACTTATCTTATCTTATTAATAATTTATTAATACATAGCATAGAATTGGACATAAAAATTAAATTTGCGATCTGCAAATTTCTTTGCAATGAGCAAATTTTTTGGCAACTTCACAGCGTCCCATCACAATCCAGGAAATAGTTCAGTTCAGCAGGTCTCTTGGCCACATCTTGGTTTCTAGTGCTTTTAAGGTTTTCTGTCAGAGGATTTGTGTTGTAAGTTAGTCTTTGGTGAAAGTTATTGTAGTTTTCTTTTGCAGTGTCTAAAATTGTTGGGATGTTCAAGTCTTTATGTAATCTATCGTTTGCGATATAAAATGGTGCCTCAACTATTCTTCGTACAATTTTGGATTGGAAAGACTGGATTTTTTTTAATATTAGAAGTTTTAGCAGAGCCTCCCAGTTCTATGCCAGAAGTCCAAATTGGTTTTAGTAAAACTTTATAGAGAATTAGTTTGTTAGTCAAAGATAATTTTGATCGTCTGTCAAGTACCTAGATAAAAGACCGTATCGTCTGTTTAATTCCATACGTTTTTGTCTTATGTGTGTCCTCCAAGCTAGTCTTTTGTCGAGGTAAAAACCCAAATATTTAATTCCATCGGATGCAGGGATTTCAATATTATTAAAACATATTTTCGAGGAAGGGGTATGATGATTAAGAGTGAATACTACGTACACACTTTTTTTTTTCATTCATTTTAATTTTCCACCTTACGGCCCAATCAGCAACATCGTTCAAGTGGTACTACCGCCGTTAAAGTAAACTTAAAATAAATTAATAAAAATAAATAATAAAATAAAATCAGTAATAAATAAAAATGAAATAAATAGAAAAAAGATATAAAATAAAACTAAACAAAGCAAACATATGTATATATATATATATATATATATATATATATATATATATACACACACACACAACAAGTATATTACATATGATGCAAAATGAGCAATGTTGGAATAGGTGGAATATAGGACTGTTTTTTGGGTACTATTCCAATGTTGGCAGTTTTAATAATGATGTCAATTCTGAATAGCCGTCCGTACACTTAACAGTATCTGCCATACAGTAGAGATTATTGGAATATGATTATGACAGAAATCAATGAAATAAAATTTAAAAATTGTATCCTTAATAATAACACTTATCAAGGATATCTTGTAATAGTATTATGTATAAAATAGTTATAAAATTTTAGATTCTTTCTGTTTTATTGATGGAATATGTTCAAATAAATTCAATACTTTTCTTTTTATAATTATTTATTTTTTCACACACAATAGTTGTTTCATCCTTATAATTAATAATCACATCAGTTTTTTTTTTACTATTTTTTTTAGGTATGCATGTGTTTTTTTTTTTGTTTTTTTTCCTTAGTTTTAATTTTCTTATTTTTTAGGTTATTTTATTTTATTGTCTATTGTATATACTTTTGATTATTATTTTGTTCTATTTATTTTATTTTTTTGTACATATGGTGTGAATGTCATCCTACCTCACTATAACCAATGTCCAACAGACAGATTGTTATAATACTCAATAAAGAAATTTAAAATTTTTTTTTCACTGAGCAGCCTAAATCATGATTTTATATAAATTTTGTTAATGAACTTATGTAGACTCAACGGAATGAGCAAAATGTTTGCATTAGTAGGATTAAACAGGAATTTCAAATTGAATTGAATATAAACTTTTCATGCCAGTTTTCATTATATAATCCTCCAACACAATATAAATAACAGAGAATTTTTATTTAGCTATTTAACTATAATTAAATCATAGCAGAGAGCCCTCATTCATCAGCACAGAAAGATTTACTCCCGTGTAACCTATATATATATATATATATATATATTACTTAATTTGGCAACGTTTTCCGAAAGTGAAAAGGCAGACTGGTATAAAGATGAGATGAAACTCGCCATGAAGGAATGAAGGAAGATCATGGAACTGAAGGAACCGAATCGAATCAGACAACCGTGATATGGAACTATTTCGAGTTTCTTCTCACTGGCATGGTAAAAGAGATGCCTGAATATGGCGCCATGGATTTTCGGAATGATCAATATTACTGATACAGCTATCCATCAACGACTAGATTTGGAAAGAAATCCATTTGATGGCTTGAATAACTAGTTCGATCTTTAGCCTGTTTAAATATCAACCGAGCACGTGGAATGCATTAGAAGATTTGATGAGATGGGTTGGGTCCTATAAACCTTTTCTAATTATTATAATTGATTAGTTTTTAAGTAGGTCTTTAGGTCTATTTTCTCTTCCTACCTAATACACTTGCGTAATTTCGAAAATATTTTTCAAACTAACATATTTATATATATATATTTTTTTTTTATATTTCTTTGTTGAGTAATTCCATTTTTTCACAATTAAGGCCATTAGCAATATTGATACTGTGGGTTCATTCACAATTTATGTACTATACATAAACAATTAATTAAATAAAACAACAGCAAAATAATAGCACTAAAAATAAATAAGTATAGATAAACAAAAAGAAACTTAACTAATTAAAATAAATTAAATACAGACTTATATAGAATAGAATAAAATAGAATAGAAAATTAAACTTTATTCTGGGACTAAGTCCCTTTAGAATAACAATGATGAGTTAATACAAAGTAAAGTACAAATCTAGCCAAAAACTAACTTCTAAAAATTTTAATATTATATACATTATTTAAAAAGTATGTAACCAGTAAAATATATATATATATATATATATATATATATATATATATATATATATATATATATATATATATATATATACACAAATGAACATAAAATCTTCTCAAAATTACTTATTACACAATTTATAAACAATAGGCTATCTAATAGAAAACTAACTTAATACAAAATGTAATAATATCTACAGTGATTTATATAATAATATGCAGACACTAAGATAAAATAAAATCTTAGGATTACTTGTGGTGTAATGGAAAAATAAATAAATAAAAGGAACTATTTATACGTACATTCTCATATTGGCACACAGAGAGACAAAAAGTATAAAATATAAACACATATACCCGAAAGAAAAAGCACAACCTGAGTAGAAGAGAAAAATAAATAAATAATAAAAATAATAGTCAAACTAGGTGACAAAGATCATTGCTGTTTTATGTTAAAATTTAAACAGTAGGAACCACCATTTACTTCACCCAAATTCAGTTCATAAAATGAAATTTATGGTGGTAAATCTTCTGTTTGGGATGTAAGGAGATATTGGAAAAGGAGGTGTTTGAAAGTTGACAGGGAAGAGGCATGACGGATGTTATGTGGCAAAGAATTCCAGTAGGAGACGGAGCGGGCTAAGAAGGAACGTTCATAGGTTTTTGTCCTGTGGAATGGAATATAGAGGTCAGAAACACGGGATCTCGTTTTTATTGAGTGGACTAAGGGTTTAGGCTGGAGGAGACAACAGATATAGGAAAGGTGCTGTGAGTTGATCGTTTGGTATAAGAAATTTCCAAGGAAGTATAGGCGGCGGTAAGAGGGGAAGAGCCACTTTGACTCGGCATATAAAGTATATATTTTTTATACTTGAATATAAAAAAGTATAACAGTCTAGGATTAGACTTGAAATTGATTTGGAAGAATTGAAGAACGACCATTGTATTTACAAAACAAAGAACAATCGCAAGAAGTTTAAAGCTTCTTACAAAGATAAAAAGTTGTGATATAAAAGTAATAAAAAGTTCCTTACAAGAGGTAAATTATGTCAATTACTAAGTTGATTATTATAATTTCTTACTCTGACTTCTTACTCTACATTAAGGCTCAGCAAGGGTGTCCATCTTCTCCAAGGTCGATAGCACAAGAATCCCTCCTCCCCACTCCCACGATATTTTATTGCTCACTTTTCATAAAAACAGAGAAAGCTGAGGTAGAATTAGAAAAATCGTAGATCACACTTGCTGTCGTCTGTTTCATACGTTTCAAAATATTTATGTAGCAATAGTTCACTACCTCCTATTCCATGCTGAAAAAGTAACTTTTTAAAAGCGGCCATACAATGACAATGCTTTTTTTTTTTTTTTACTAAGGGTTGGTACTTTTTGTTGGAAATCGACCAAAAACAATCATCATCCATGTAAAGGACAATTTATTTAAAAAGATCATTTCTGAGTGCAATAAAAACAAAGAATCAGCAATCTAGAATAATAAAGATTAAATATATATATATATATATATATAAGGACTGTATTTATTTATGTTTGCTCATTTTTTCTTAGCCTTGTACAATTTTTTAAAAGTTTATTTTACGTTTCATAAAAATTTAAAAACCAATATATCACCTTTCATTTTTTTATGTTTATACATTTTGGTGGACATTACATGTTTTCAAATATTTGGAATATGTATACACATTTTCATTTATATTTAGCCAATAAAGAAAATTTATATACAAATTAACAAATAAATAAAAAATAAGGAAAGTATCATAAGAGGCTAAACAAGAAATTCGTCGAATTTTGGCGTAGGAAAGATCCTACGTACCTAGGTAATAACTTACAATGGTCAGGATTTATCCAAGGTTAACTATTTGTATATCCTGTTGAGATAAATATACAGAACGGAATAAATAAGTTGTTATAGATATTTGATTATATATTTTCATATTCTCAGTCTTTTGGACCCTTAGAAAAATCAATTAATTTGATAAATAGTATTATTCGAGCAGATAAGTAAATTTTGTTAAGAAGAATAAACCACACATATAATAATGGATAAAAA